CCCGCCTCTGCCCCAGCGTCTGCTCCCAGACGTTGCTCAGGCAGCCATTATCTTCCCCATTGTTACCAAGCAGCGACCGGAAGCGACGGCGCACAACAGGAAGTGACGATGCCGAGTCCCGCCGCTGCAGCTCCATTCCCAGCCTATTAGCCAATCCCAGTCGAGTCTCGGAAAAGTTTAGTGGGCCTAGGAGGGGTACAGCGGACGACGAGGAGGGGAGGGCGTCGGCTTGGAAAACGAAAGCTGCTATGACGCCCACCGTGTGACAGGCCCCACCCTCCTCCGCCATTTTGAATTGTGCCGAGAAATTCGCGTTCCGAGAATTGTGGGAACATTCCCTTTCCCATTTTGAAAGCTGAAGAACGTCACTGTCTGGCTGCGTGAATCTTTTTGCAGAGAGCGAGAAATGTGATGTTGGTCTAACTTGGCATCTATTCAATCAGTCCCCACCAATTCATACAGCATCTTATATTTTATCCAACATACATATTTATTGAGCGCCAACTGTAGGTCAAGCACTATTGCAGATGTTGAGAAAATTAGACCAAAATTTAAAAATAAAATAAAATCTCAGTTCTCATAAATCTTGATAATCTACTGAGGCTATATTAATTTTTAAAAAGCAAATTATAGCACATAAATTGTTGATGAATGCTAAAAAGAGCAAGTGGGGAAGGAAGATGGGAATGCACCCTATTGTTTGAAACAGGAATTGCAAGACTTAAAAGTGTTCAGGAGTCTCTTTGAGGTGGTAACTCTCTGAAGTACTTGAAAAAGGGAGGTTATTGTCAAAGGGTGGGAAAATCTGATAGCGGTGGAATTCCTAAAAGGGCTGTTAAGGAAGCCTCTCTTATATGGTAATTCCTGAAGGAATGGAGGTATTCCACCCCACAGCATTTAATTCATATTGCCCCAGTTAAAAGAAAATAACCTTCCCAGTTTTTTGTAGGGTGCTTCTGTGTTTTTTTTTCCTCCATTTTCCTGACAACAAGCCAAACAGGGTGGCTTTCTTACCGTTTTCCAACTAGACTAACTTGTTCCTATCTCAAATACTTTGCCTAGGCTGTAATATTTCCTTTGATCTCTTGGCTTTCATCAGCCAAGCTTCATTATTGTCCCCTTTCCAGAGAAACTCTCCTTGCCCTTAGCTGCTTAATTTTCCGTGAAGCACTTGTCAAAATATAGTATTTCTTTGTTTGCACAATCTTTTAAAAAGCAGTAAACCTTTTTGTTTTGTTCACTGTTGTATCCCTACCGACTGCATAATAGGCTCATGTTTTGGGGAAGAATTACTGCCTCGGTATAGTGTAGTGTTAGCCTGAAATAAAAGCAAATTTGTATTCTAAGCAATTAAAATTTATATCCTGTTTATCTTTCCAGCACGTTTGATATTGTCTTGTTAACAATGTAATGTATGATTTAGAGACTGTCACTACTAAGTTTTTGTCTTATTTTAAAGATAAGGTATTAGAATGTTTACCTGGAATGTGTAAAACGAAGTCTTCAGCGATTTGCAACTGCCATTAAGCCTAATATTAAGACTATGGCAATAACTAGCCACTCCTGACATACTCTTGAGGTGTATATAGCTTAATGTAAAATATAAAATAATAAAAGTGGGAAGAATAGGTGAGTATTTCTACAGCCTTGAACTATGGAAAGATTTTCTAAACATGTAGAAGGATATTCTAAGCATGGCACAAATCCATAAAGGGAAAGACTAATAAAATACAATTTCCTAAATATAAGTAAAGCTTCTGAACGTCAAAATACAAGGTTAGTAAAGCTAAAATACAAATGACATATTGAAAAATATAATTTCAACACGACACATGACATCTTAGAGATTATGTTATTGCTTTATAATAAAATTAAAAGATAACTGACAAACTGGCAAAAATGCTGCACATACAGGAAATGTGACTAAATATCACAAGTATATAAAAAGTATTAAATTGATATTATTTATTTGGTGCTGGAGAGTGAATCCAGGGCCTTGCATCTACACCACGAATCATAAACTAATTTTTTTAAGTTGAAGATTTAAGGAGAAGGGAAAGCTACTTAGGTTTGACTAGCATTATGAGTCAATTAAACAGTTTTAGCTGGATGTACTGGCACGCTACTATAATCCTAGCACTCTGGGAGCCAAAGGCAGGAGGATCACAGTTTGAGACCAGCCTGGGTAACTGAAAGACAGGGAGATTTGTTTCAAACAGTTAGGGCAGGGTATATAACTCAGTGTGAAAGTCCTAAGCTCAATACCCAGTACAGGAAAAAATTTAATAAAAGTTTATTTTTATTTTATCTATTTATTTTTCAATCCCAAGTACTGCAATAAATTTTAATAAAAATGTATGTATGTATGTACGTATGTATGTATTTGTTTATTTTTGAGGCACTGGAGATGGAACTCGGTGCCTACACACTAAGCTATATCCTCAGGCTACATTCTCAGCCCTTGTTTTCATTTTGAGACAGTCTCACTAGGTCAATAGGCTGCCTAGGCTGGGCTGAAACTTGTGATTTTCCTGCTTCAGCCACCCAGAGTGCTGGAATTACAGGTTTATGTCACCAATCCTGGCTAAAAGTTGATTTTTAAAAAGATAAATACCCCAGTTTTGAAATGTACAAAGGACATGAATGGGTAATCTTAAAAAAGGAAGCTGGGTGTGGTGGTGTACAACCAGGAGGCTTAGGCAGGAGATCTCATCAAGTTTCTAGCCAGCCTGGGCTATATAGTGAGTTCAAGGCCAGCTGGAGCTACAAAATGAGACCTATATCAAAAAGAAAAAAAAGGAGAAAATATTTGTCTGATAAACATAGAAAATATGCTACATCTCATTAGTAATGAGAATAAAAGTGATTTTTCTTTCTCAGGGGGAGGCCTACCAGTATGTCAGAGATTAAAAAACAACTCACAGTATTGAGTGTTGATGAAGATCCTATGAAATGAACACCTTACACTTTTTTGTTGTTCAAGTGCTGGGGATTGAACTGAAATAGGTACAAGAAAAAAGAATGAAACGAACACAATTATATGCTTAGTGCTACTTTATACTCTTTTTTTTTTCTTTTTTCTTTTTGGTGGTACTGGGGATTGAACCCAGGACCTCCACACTAAGCTATACTCCCAGCCCTTTTTATTTTTTTTATTTTTTTTAGATAGGGTCTACTAAATCACTAAATTGCTCATGCTGGACTTGAATTTGCAATCCTCCTGCCTCAGCCTCCCAGAGTGCCAGGATTATAGGCATAGGTCACTGTGCTGGGCTTAGTGTTAGTCTTTAAAGACAAAGGCTTTGTGACATACCTCCAAGCCTCAATATAGCTATACTATTTGAGCAACAAATCTATCTATCTATCATCTATCTATCTATCTATCTATCTGTCTGTCTGGAGCTAATCATAGTGTAGTTTGTAGTATTAAAATGTTGAAAAGTCAGGAAATCAGGGAAAAGAAAAAATATGAGAAAATGAAAGAATGGAAATAAAGTTTTTGTAAATACAGAAGGGAGGAGGGGGTGAAGGGAGGGAAGGGACAAGGGGAAAAAATGAGCACCAAGACCTGTCACGTAAAGGTACAAGATCCTAGTGATGAATGTAACTGTACTGTATACCTAGAATGTACCAATAAACTCAATGAGAAAAAATATCAGGAAAGACAACTAATAATAATAATTAGTTAAACATACTAAATCTACATAATCAACCACTACATATCCATTAAGATGTGTAGTTTTTGTTTACATATTTTTAGTGAAAGAAATTTATAAAGCATGTATGATTATTATTATTATTATTATTTTTTTTTTTTGGCACCAGGGATTGAACTCAGGTCCTTGCGCTTGCAAGGCAGGCCACCGAACCGCTGAGCTAAATCCCTGGCCCCTATTTTTAAATTAAAGTATATACATAAGTACACCTAGAGAAGCCTATAAGTTAGTACATATGCAATAAAATGTGATGGAAGTATTAGTCATGTTAACTTACTTCTTTACTCCTTTCTGTATTGTCTTGAATATTTTACAGTGTTTCATATAGTATATGATATTGGATTGGGACAGCCATTTTCATTTTTAAAGAAAAATCTGAATTTGATGCTTGTGCATGACAGAATCTACTTTAGCAACTTAATACTTCATGGTTCAAACATCCACTTAATTGTGTCTTTTGCATATTCTCCTACCCTTTTATAAACATGGACTGCTCTCTTCCAGTATCTAGGAAATGACTTACAGCATCTCACAACAGTTTATCCCATGATTGCTATTCAATATCATTCTAGAACCTTGAAACAGTCAGGCTACTTAGTTTCTCTTTAGCCTAATTGCATGTCCTTACCATTTGATTTTTACTTATATGTGACCTTCAAGCGATTTTTATACCTTCTAGTTCAAGTGACCTTTAGGAAAATAGAAAAAAAAATCCATTGCAACCATATGATGAAGAACAAGGATATATCAAGAAGACTGTGCGCTGTGGCATGACAAATATTGAACAAAGACTTATCAATGTAATGAATATTACAAAGCATATGTGTGTACAAATGAGAGTATGCGTACCTTTAGCCAAGAGAAGCTTTATTTTTAGTTAAGACTTGAAGGAAGAAGGATGGTTCAGGAAGATAAGGGAAGCAACCTGAGAGAGAAAATAACCTTGCACAAATTCCCTGGGGTGAAAAAGTGAAACCTGAGGAACTGAAAGAGTAATTTATTTTCTCTAGTAAATATTGTTTTACTTCTAAACAGCACTCCTCACATTGGAATTTGGTTGGTCTATTTGCTTATTTACTGATTGAATTTATATGTTTATGAT